GGACATCTGGCCCTCTTTGGCCAGATGTTCGGACAAAAGGGATCATATTCAGACGGAGAAAGGCACAGTTTTCGACTTCCTTAATTCGTAGCTCTGTTGCCCCAATTTCGTGAAAGGTGGGAGAAGATGTACTCAGATCATGTACTTCAGTTAAAGTAGAAGTACTCAGATCTTGTACTTGATTAAAAGTAGAAGTACTCAGATCTTGTACTTCAGTAAAAGTAGAAGTACCAGAGTGGAGGAATACTCTGTTACAGTAAAAGTCCTGTATTCAAAATGTTCCTTAAGTAAAAGTAGAAAAGTATTCTCATCAAAATATAGTTAAAGTAGCGACAGTAAAAGTAGTCATTGTGCAGATTGGTCCATTTCAGAATAATATATATGATATGTTTTATAATGATTGATCATGAAAGTGTTCTCAAAGCTGGTAAAGGTGCAGCTAGTCTGAATGACTTCGTATACTGCAGGGTAGCTTGTGGATTTACTCCAGGTGGAACTAAAGTCTGATTCAACACTTGATTATATTTCACATCATTCATCCACATCTGTGAAGTAACTAAAGGTATTAAATACATGTAGTGGAAGAGAAGTACAGAGTAGCATGAAATTGAAATACTCAAGTAAAGTACCTCAAAGTTCTACTTAAGTCCAGTTCTTGAGTAAATGCATTTAGTTACTTTACACCACTGTGTTGGTGATTGTCTCATACACTCTCCCAGTATTTCTATGACTTGTCTGAATCTTCTCTGAATCTTCTTTGATTCCCTGCAGACCTGAATGAGTGCGAGTTCTCAGACTTTCTGTGTCAGCACAATTGTGCGAACACGCCCGGATCGTTCTACTGCCTCTGTCCGCCCGGATACTACGTGTTCGAGGACGGCAGGAGCTGTGAAGGTAAACGCACACAGGACAGAAGACATCCGAATATATCCTCAATAATTATGTCAATTTGCAGCAGTTTAAATGCAGTGTCGATGAATAGAACAATGAAGCATAAAGCCAGTCTTGTTGTGTGTTGTGAATTAAGAAACATTTAAATATAGGTTTATCCTGTTATCTTTGCTCAGAATATTTTTGAACTGTCAACTAAAATGTGTTTTTATTTGGTTCAGAATATTAAATGCTTAAATGAATGTATTTAATGAAAAATAAAGCAAGAATTTAGACTCGTTAAACATATTTTTATTATTTTGACACCAGCTAATGTTAAAAACAACTGTCATAATTATCATGTGTTTACTTTACATTTTTAGCATTATTTTTCGGGGTTAAATCGTTGGTACTTACTGTATTTTTGATACTTTAAAAAAAGTGTTTTCTCTGATGATGATGATGATGATGATGATGATGATGATGATGATGATGATTTAACTGATTTTGATCTGATTTTTGTCGTGTGTTTGATTTTAAAGATATCAATGAATGTGACACTGGTAACAACACCTGTACAACAGAACAAGTATGTTTCAATTTCCAGGGAGGCTACACATGCCTGGACCCTCTTCAGTGTCAGCCGCCCTACATTGAAGTCGGTGACAAGTGAGTATTTCATATCATTACATTTGATAACATCAGTTTATTTCATTACCCAGAGCGTCTATGTACACTTTGCAAGTCAGTAAACACCTAAAATGTACATATTTATTCCATGAATCCCCATAACTGGACTTCTTTGACCCTCTTTAACGGTTCACTTCAAATAAAATACCACTGCAATTATCTTAATATAAATATTTTTCACATAACGCATAACTACTTGTAACGTTTGTAAAATTGTATTCCTTTTTACTTTCTCGCACATTTTACCTTTTATTTTTCAATTTTTGTATACACATCTGTATTTGTACTGTTTAATTTTTTTGTGTATTTGACCTTTTTATTTTTCAATTCCTTTGTTTGAATTTAATTTTTGCTTTTATTCTTTTGCACGTTTTTATTTTAAATAGCTATTTTTATATAAATATTTGAGTTGTATATTTAACTGCACCTATTTACTTTACCTTCTAATGTTTATTTAAATATTGTTTCTTTATTTTGTGGTTTATCTGACATTTTAATTCCTTTGTTTTAATTCATTTTTGCACATTTTTTCATGTCCTTCTAATTTTTAAATAATTTTCTTTATTTTATGTTTTATTGCACATTTTATTTTAACCACCTATTTTTATATACATATTTTTATTAAATTGTATTTATTATTGTAGATAATTTAAAATGTACCTTCTTATGTTTGTGTTAATATGAATGTTTGTATTGTGTTCTCCCTGCAGTCAGTGCATGTGTTCTGCGGAGAACCCTGCCTGCAGAGACCAACCCTTCACTATTCTGTACCGACACATGGACCTCTCTCCGGGGCGCGCTGTGCCTGCAGATATCTTCCAGATGCAGGCCACCACGCGCTACCCCGGCGCCTTCTACATCTTCCAGATCAAGTCGGGCAACGACGGCCGCGAGTTCTACATGAGGGTGAGTACTGCAGAGACACAGAGAGATGGGGTTTATTAGGGGTGGGAATCACCAGGCTCCCCACGATACGGTACCATCACGATACTTAGAGGTCCCCTATTATAATGTTTTCATCAATATATCACAGATATATACAAAACATGTCTCTGAAGTGTTTGGCTCCAAACACCAAACAGATCATTGCAGCATTACCCATAATCCCCTCTGTTTCAGCCCTGTTTCCAAAGTGCTGATTCTCTGTCTGTTACTTTAGATGAAAATAAGGAGCCCCTCCCCACGCCCCTCTGAGAGACATTTGGTTAAAAAGAACACAATGGTGCTCTCGGAGGAGATTCAGGTGATAAAGGGGGGGGTTACCTTGGTTGCTGATTGGCTAATGGTTACACAAGCCAAAAAAATCGTTATGACATCATAAAGTGGCCAAAATCTGATCAGCTCATTTTCAGGCAGGTTTTTATAGAAATGGATCAAAAAGAGAGAGAATCTTTGTTCCTGAAACTTTCAGAGTCTCTTTCCACAGAGGGGACACATGTTGATGTAGAATAGACATGAAGAAGAGTGGACACATGTTGTTGTAGTAGAGACATGAAGAAGAGGGGACACATGTTGATGTAGAAGAGACATGGAGAAGAGGGGACACATGTTGATGTAGAAGAGACATGAAGAAGGG